TCCTCCCCCTCTTCCTCTTCCACTTCCTCCTCCTCGTCTTGTTGTTGCTCTTCCTCTCCCTCCTCCTCCTCCTCCTCCTCTTCCTCCTCCTCCTCGTCTTGTTGTTGTTCTTCTTCTTCCTCCTTCTCCTCCTCAGTTGCCACCTGCCCAGGATCTGCCGACGTATCTACCCTGCGCAGTTGCGATGTTCTCTTCTATCCTGCGCACGCTGAGCACAGCAGGAGGAGGAGGAGGAAGGATAACGAGGACGAGGAGGAGGAGGAGGAGGTGGAGAGGGCGGAGGAGGAAGAGGAGGAGGAGGAAGAAGACGATGCTGAGAAGGACGAGGAGCAGAGGCAGGAGGAGGAGGAGCAGGAGACGAGGAGGCGAAAAAATGGGGGGCAGGGGAGGAGCGAACAGCGACCCAGTATTCTACTGCATCGTTGTCATATGGATGGGTTCTTGGTCGGAATGTGGTAGCACACAAATGCTTGACTACTCGGAGTTCAGCGTGATTTGCAATTTCGATTTGCACACTTCGTTCACATCAACGTTCCTCGCAAATCAACCGACCCAAAATAATAATAATAATAATAAAAATAAAAAACATCTAATGAACAAATCGGTTCGAATGAATCTTGATTGTCAAGATCCAAACGATCCGATATACTCGATTAGACACTTCACTTTTTCATTTTTTTTTTTTTTTTTTATGGTTGATTGATTGATTGACTACTTCGACTTCAGCGTTGTTTGCAATTTGGATTTTCTACATGTTGCTCACATTCACGTCCCTCGCAAGTCAACACAAATAAAAAGAAAACAAAAAGAAAAGCATCCAATCAGCAAATCTGTTCGAATGGATCTTGATTTTCAAGATCCGATCGGTTCAATTTCTTCCATCAGGCACTTAACTTTCTTCGACCTATCAAACGGAGGCAATGCCACAACGTTCATGCCGTAGCCAGCAAATCTCGACAAATGCAGTGACACTTTCTTGTAATTCCCCGGCAGTTCGACTCCTCCACTGTCGAAGTATGTGGTCAAGTGAAAATCGTAGTACCCCTCCTCACCGGCAAATTTGTCGACGCCATAACTGTCGATCCCGCCGCACACGTAAAAATGCCCGCCATCATCCTTTAGGAATAGGGTTCAAGTTGACACGGACACTATATGCGGAGTGTCCATATTATCTGAAAGTGTTCATGCATGAAATCATCGGGGCTATCGACCAGCTACGGGACGAGTTGCGGGCATAAGTGCAAATGCGCGTCACGTGATGTGGGATACAAACAACAATCACATTACGTTTTTTCTGATATGTTTGGCACCGTACGAGGCGCTGCAACCATCAGAGGAGATCACACGAGCTGTTAAGAAGTTCAATTGCCGCCTCGCAGTCCTTGACCTGTGCCTGCGCAAGTCGACAGCCCCGCACGAGTGGTCAGATGAGAGATTCACAGTGCTGCCAGAGATGATGAACACCTTCTGTGGCGCGGATTGGGTCATCGTCATATTCTCGACGTTAAGAGTCGAGCAAACTGTATTGAAGAACGTGCTTCGTTGGGATCACGTCAAAGTAATTCCAGGTCGGTGGGAGAGACATTTTGGGAAGGACCAATATGTCATTCCCGCTGGAAATCTTCCACTGCGACCTCGGGACTGCATGACCGTTGTCATGCATGCGTCGAACAATGACTACAAGAAGGTGATTGTGCAGCCACGAAACCATGTCACGTGGTTCGACGACAACGTGAAGGAGGACTTATTTGTGTAATGCATGAACGAGCATGTTGTATATCAGGCGCTACAAAAACCCTGTACGGACATTGGGAGAGAGAGCCAAAAAAAGTGAAGGAATTTTGCAAATGGTTTGCAAAGGATGGGGAAGGTGTGCTGCTGCTCGGGAATGTGCAGGCAGGGTCAGTCTGGGAAGTGCTGCGGTCAGGACACAATGTTGTTGCGTGTGACAGCAATTCAACAATGCTCGATTGGACGTCCACATTCCTCGATATAGAGGTCCACAGGCCAGAAAGTCGTTGCCACTTCGAACGGCCCAAGACTCCGTGGCTTCCAGAGAGAGACATGTACCTCAAGCTTGGCAAGAAGAGGGACTCTCTGTAGAAATACTTGTTCGGCGAAGCCCCGAAGACTCCAAAGGACATCGCTTATATGCACCGAAAAGTGATTGTCATCCAACATTTCCAAGGGTACCATGAAGCGAAAAATGGTGCGATTGAGATATTCATAGCGCGGTGTGAGCGTCTGTGGTTCAACAAACAAGAAGACAGACTGTGTGCGAAGACATACGCCGATGAGCTGGATGCAGGTGAGAACTTCGATGTGCTCGACAACGAGGAGGAGACATCAGACGACGATATAGATCTGCGTCTACCAGGTGCTCAAGGACATGTTCAACGGGCGTTGGACGGTGGCGAGGGTCGTCAGGCAATGGAGGGGATGGAAACAGATGTCGTGGCAAGCCGGGAGAGCATTCGTGGTGGGGAGTAGAGGTTGTGTGAACAAGGAATGCCAGAGAGTGCAAGGAATGAGATCAGGGGACCAGTTGGTGCAGGCAGTGCAAGCAAGAACAACAACATTGAAGGGTTGCGGCCAGGACCGGCCTCGTCAAGTGGAAAAGAGCCACATCTACAATCCAAAGGCAAGGACAGCAGTGTCCGATACCCTGGGATATTGACTCAGTTGGACACCGTGTATGTGAGCATGGGCCTGTCAAAGATCCCAAGAGAGAACCAGTATATTGTGCCCCAGGAGGAAAATGCACAGGTTGGAGGAATGAACGTCAACGCCATCAAATTCGCGTTCCCGCCCGACGAGGATGACAAACTCATGCCGGGAGACACAATTCGAGAGGACATGAAGGAGTTCATCGGAGGCCCGCACTTCCTGCAGCACATTGGGAAAGTGATTGAGACAGAAGACCACCAATGGGGGCATCATATATTGTGGCACCCGAAGGTCCTCGAGCCCTGCGTATGGAACGGGAAATGGCACATGGCTGTGTGCATCAATGGAGAGTGACAATTGCGAACGTGGGTATTGAAGAGCAAGTTTTCGAAATCGCAAAGGAACAGGTTCATATCAAAGTGCGGCAGACGAACGGTGGATCAGACAGCCTTGCACAAGGAGCATATGCCGACACACTTTATGACAAGTTGCGAGGTCAGAACATGCTGGAGTACAATGCAAACTTTTATGACATTGAATCCAGTGTGTCGCACGATCAGATCCCTTGGAAATTGCCAAGTCGAGAAGTGGTGCAAGAGTTTGAAGGTGAAATACGTCTGGTAACAGTCAGCAATTAGAACATGACGGTGACCACGCTTCGATGAGTTTAGCAGGACGTCCATTCACGAGCTCCGTTCGTAGTGACGAGCAAGTTGATGAGAGGAATGCTATGGAAAAATTTGTGGGCGACAATGACGAGTCAAGAAGAGAAAGAGTGCGGGCCGAACATCAATCGTTTCATCCACCATCGCAACGGGACGATTCCGCGGAGGACAAAGAGTTAGCGGATCACTTTGCAATTGTGGAATCTTCCAAGGTTTGCACGGGGTCAGAAACGCAAATGGCCACGGAACCAATGTCCATGCAAGGAACTGAGCTGACGAGAGAAGAGTCGGTGCCACAGTTGAAGGGGATAGAAAATTTGTCAGAAAACACACCTGACTTGATGCTTCAACTGCTTTATGACAGCGCCATACTCGAGGGTGACCCAGGTGGTGTGCAGAGGAAAGAGAACGTTGTGGCCTCAATGGGAAGAGACGATGATGAACTTCAACGAACCACGACGATTGGCGACAAGCATCAACACCCCAAGCGCAAGAGAGAGGATGACGACAATGTCATTGACATCGGGACACAGTCAGGTGAGCAATCAGGGCGTGGTGAGGACGGGGAGGGCCGACAAAATGAGAAAGAACAAGATGAACACCACCATGTGACACTGCAAAAGGAGGATGTGATCTGAAATGAGAAGTCAAGGAAAGGGAACACAACATACAATCTTGTGCTTCGTCGTTCGGGGAGACCTGMRKSAAARWSGACACGKCAKGAYGACWAGTWKCGTGCATACATRTGTGTGTGTGTGTGTGTGTGTGTGTGTGTGTGTGTGTGTGTGTGTGTGTGTGTGTGTGTGTGTGTGTGTGTGAATGTGTGTGTGTGTGARTKTKTSTGCATGGGCGCGYGTATGTAGGCTAATGTTCGGGTTTCGAATGGTTTGCCTTGTCATGTTCGTTTTTTTTCTCGCACTGCGAGGGATCTGATTTAGTAATTGCCAAAATGTATATAATTCAACGACACATAGAATTGTCTGGCATAGGTCATAATGGCGGGACATTAGTAGCAGGTGCGCATTATTATAAACACACGTAATCTCTCTCTCTCTCTCTCTCTCTCTCTCTCTCTCTCTCTCTCTCTCTCTCTCTCTCTCTCTCTCTCT